TTTCAGTTCATATTACAGCGTCAGTAGCCATTGTAATCTTGTGAAATAATATTCAATCTCATTCCATCCTTACTCTATGGAATTACCAATTGCTGTGAATTTATGAATTTATGATCTTTCTTATGTGTTTATTATGGATTCGTGTTTTAAACACCAGGAAATTATCTGATCGTTTCAAATTAGTGCTTGAACCCTGAACTCTGAACAATGGCTACGGGTCGCCGATCACGATCTCGCTCAAATTTAATGCAAACGCTAGAAATTGACAATCCTTCCAATTGGACTGTAGGTGTATTGAAACAGAAACTAGCTGATATTAGTATCGTGCTAAACGTACAACTCTCTCATAGTGCATTAAAACGAATTTATTTGGATAATGTCGGAAGCAATGTGAACAACGTTTATGTTGCTTCGTCTGGATCGATAGCTAGTAATCCTGTTCCAATGTCTGTTGATTCGTCGTCTGGAAATGATGTAGGAACTCACACAAACGCTTCTCTACAAATTCCCAATGCCATTCAGACAAGTCAAATTACAAGTTTACATCCGGATTTGGCAAGACCGTCCGTTTCTAGTACGCCATTACCTACTTCCACTTCACTTCCGGGAATAACAACGATGGCGGCTGATAGCCAAGCACAGTCACAGAATGTTCTCCTAACAACCTTGCAACTATGTCAGCAAGCCATTTCTTCTTCTTTAAACTCCACAATGAGCAAAACCACGGAAGACAGATCTTTTAATTTAAGCACCGCTATGTCTAATTCGGGCGCAGGAACTCCCTCTTCACAAATTGCTGCCGTGGATTTGGTATCTCCAGAGATTCGAGCAGACATTGTAGCAGGTAAGGACGTTAATTTAAACGTTCTACTCATACCAAATTACACTTCGCCTGCTCATAAGAAAATTAAAGAAAACGATGAAAGATTGTTGAGAAACTTGACCCTAGATGAATTTATTGTGGCCTTTGGACGATACAAAAGAATTATGTGTAGTGCTTTTCCGAACAGAACCGAAGAGTTAGATTCTTACCTCTCCCACATCATAGAAACAGCAAAAATTTGGCCAGAGAGATTCTACGAATATCACCAAATTTTCTCTAATAAGTGTGCCTCTATGCTGCTTCAACAAAATGTCAAGGTCGATTGGTCTAAGGGAGACCATGAATTAAGAACTTTGGTTTGTGCTGGTTCACCTATCAAATGTTGTGACTTCTGTGGTTCTAACATTCATAGTGCCCTTATGTGTCCACAGAAAGCTTTCAGACGAAATCAAAACTCACGACAGTCAGCAACCCATCGTTCATTTAGACATGCAGTGGACATTTATGGCCATGACGTTAAGTTTCATGAAGGTGAACAAATCTGTAACAATTTCAACTCAACCAAAGGTTGTACTAAACCATATTGCCGTTACTTGCATGCTTGCAAACTGTGCAAAGCCAATCATTCCAAATTAGTATGTCAACAATCAAAGACTGAAAACAACAAAACCAAAAATTCATCTCCTACTACTTCTAAATGACTAGAATCTCTCACAAACATTAAGATCGACAGACTTAGACTGGAACTATCGAACCATCCTGATATTGACTTTGTCCATTATTTGTGCTCAAGTTTGGAAAAAGGGTTTGATACCTTAGTGTCTTGTGATATTCTTCCTACTTATGAGTGTAAAAACGCGTTGACAGCTCGACAAAATCCAGAAGTAGAAGACGAATTACTCCATACCGAATTAAAGAAAGGATATGTCAAAGGCCCTTTTTCAAATCCTCCTTTTGCCAGATACAGAGTAAGTCCCTTGGGAATAGCTACACATAAATATTCTGGTAAAAAACGCTTGATATTTGACCTATCTTCTCCACACAACAAAGAGGAACCTAGCATCAATGATTTAATTGATAAAGAACTGTGTTCCTTAAGCTACGTGAAAATCGATGATGCTATAAATAATATACAGCAATACGGAAAAGGAAGCATTTTGTATAAAACAGATATGACAGATGCCTTTAAACAAATCCCTATTGTTCCAACACAATACCATTTGTTTTGCTTCAAGTGGAGGAATTCGTATTATCATTATGTTCGTCTACCTTTTGGATGCCGGTCAAGTCCTAAAATATTTGACAATTTGTTGGATTGCACAAAACAACTATGGTATCGATGACATTCTACATTTACTAGATGATTTTCTAACAAAAGATAAACCGGACGCGTGTGGTGAAAGGACTATGGCACTGTTGTGTACTATTTTCCATCGACTACATTTACCTATATCTGACAAAAAAACTGTTGGACCTACCTGTCAATTAGAATACTTAGGTATAACGTTAGACACCATCAAAATGCAGGTAAGATTACCTACAGAGAAAATTGATAGGATATTACAGTTCATTCAAAATATTTTGTCCAAAAAGAGTTGTACTCGAAAAGAACTGGAACAATTGTTAGGACATCTAAATTTTGCATCAAGAGTGATTCTGCCTGGACGCTCTTTTGTGTCCTATTTGTACAAACTCATGTCCTCAGTAAAAGAAAGTTTTCATCATGTACATCTTGACAAAGAGTGCAAAGCTGACTTGCACATGTGGCAAACATTTTTGAAAAACTGGAACGGAATATCTGTGTTTTATGATCCGTTCAAAGTGAATGCTCATGATTTAGATCTTTATACAGATGCATCTTCCACATTAGGGTTCGGCGGTTACTACCAAGGTCATTTGTTCAACAGCAAGTGGCCTTTAGAATTAACAGCATTGTCGATTCTAAACTTTCAATGGCTTTATTAGAATTATACCCCATAGTCGTAGCTTGTATCCTGTGGGGTAAACATTGGTGTGGAAAAAGAATAGTATTTCATTGTGATAACCAAGCAGTCGTTCATATCATTACCAAAGGCAGATCCAAAGAACCAGTCATAATGAAACTTATGAGAAGACTTACTATGTGTGCTGCAAACAATAAGTTTGTTGTATATAGTAAACATATACCAGGTGTTAAAAACGAAATAGCTGACAGTTTATCTCGTTTTCAGATGGACAGATTTCGTCAGTTGGCTCCAGAGGCAGACAGAAACAACACTCCATGCCCACCTTTGATGGAAATGATCTGGACAGCGTCGTGAACAATTTATGGAATTATTCCATTTCTAGTAAAACTCAAGCACAATACAAAGTTGGATTGGACACTTATGTTAAATTTTCTTTACTTAGAGGTTTTCATGTACAAACAGACAACAGTCTACCTCCTATTTCTGAGCAGACTTTAGTGTATTTTGTTGCTTATTGTGATGATCATCTTCATTTGTCTTATTCTACAATCAAATTATATCTTACTGGCATTAGATTTTTTTTTATCTAAAAATGAAAGGATTCAATCCTTTAGAAAGTGTAGCAGGTCAACCTTTAGCATGTTTACAGACAGTTTTAAATGGTGTTAAGAAAAAACAAACTTGTAAATATGTAAAACGAACGAGATTACCAATAACAAATTCTATTCTCTGTAATATTTTCCAGCTACTTAATTCTGGTATATTTGACATGTTTACTGCCTACCTATTAGAGGCAGCATGTACTGTAGCCTTTTTTGGTTTTCTACGTTGTGGAGAATTTACTGTTCAAAGCGAAAGTTTCATAAATGATTGTTTGTCAACACAAGATGTCATGTGCTTTGAGAACTCAATTGTAATTATTCTGAAACAATCAAAAACTGATCCTTTCCGGAAAGGAGTTCAAATTCAGTTGTTTAAAACAGATACAAATGTTTGTCCAGTTTCTGCTATGTTTAAATATATGAATTTAAAAGCAAAAACATTTTCCTTTGTACCAACTCCATTATTTGTTACTAAAGACGGTTCTGTCTTAACCAGGTCTTATTTTGTACAGAAACTGAAATTCCTTCTGTCTAAATTGGGTTTTAATCCTGACAATTATAATGGCCATTCATTTAGAATCGGTGCAGCTACAACAGCACAGGAAGCTAGAATCGAAGATCACCTTATTAAAACTTTAGGACGCTGGTCTTCAAATTGTTATACTACCTATATTCACAAGTCTTCCTCAGTTATTCAGCAAGCTCAGAAACAATTGGCTATGATTCACTTTTAGTGTAAAAAAAAAATTTCTGCTGGAATTTTGACAATCTGTGAGAAATTCCGTAAATATGTACATATTTTGCATTGCACTTTAATTCGTTTATTAGCTTAGCTTAAATTTCATATGTTTCTTTTTATATGTTTATTCAGTCAATTGCTCTATATGAAACTTGCAATTTTGAAAGGTGGTGGCAAATTACATTTTTCTAATTAACTTCAAACTTGGGGGCTACAATTGTTTATAGTTTTCAACTTTCAACTCTTGTATTTGGCATTCTTGGTTCAAATTCATATTAAAATTAAATTTTCACCAATCTTCCCCCATGTTTTCGTGAGGGGAATATCATGTTTGTATAGTGTGATTTAACACTCATTGCAAAGTGTGTCTTTTCATGTTGTTTGCAATATATGTCAAATTCAAACTGTAAATATTTCTCACCCTGGCTTGGGGGGTGCTTATGCTTTCAGTGCTTATTTAGCTGAAAGTTTTTGTTTAACTGTGAACCTCGTCAGTCCCCAATGTCCAATATGGAATGTTCTTTAATGAATTGTTCTTAAACTGTATTTTCTTTTGTTATATATAAATTGTTGATTATGTTAATAATCTTTGTTTATATATAATTATACTGTAACACCAGCATGCTGATGGAAATGTTTTAGTTTCCCCTTTGGTACCTCATTTTGCATTCTGTTATTTTTAGACAGCCTCGCTTTCAGTTCATATTACAGCGTCAGTAGCCATTGTAATCTTGTGAAATACCACCATCCACCCCGCCACTCATCTTAAAAAATTGCCTATGGGGATTGATTAATTTTACAAAATTGTAATTTTCTTTTTTTCTATTTATGTAGTATTTTTATTATGTTAAACCTTTATTCCAGTTATTTAGAATATTTATCTAGCTTAAATGGCATAATACTTCTGAATCATGAAGATTTGAAGCTTCTGCTTCAATTTTTCTAATCATGCTTACGTTCGACAATTTATCATGCTAGGAAGTTTCCTAATAAAGTCTCGAAGCTTACGCTTTCCTTCCAGTCATGCTGACGTATGACATTTGATTATCCATAGCTAAATATTCCCTAGCTTAAGACTAAGCTTGGTCTCCTAGTCATACTGACGTATGACGTCCATCATGCTTACGTATGGTATCCCATTAGTTTTGAATTCCAAGCTTACGCTTGGTGTCCTAGTCATGCTGACGTATGACACTCGATCATGCTTACGCATGGTATCCCGTTACTTTCGTATTCCAAGCTTACGCTTGGTGTCCTAGTCATGCTGACGTATAAAGTTAGAAAATAAAATAAAGAAATAAATAAAATCAATTAGTCAGATTAATTCGAATGTTATAGTTTAAGAAATAAAATCTCTAAATATTTGCTTTACATTATTGGCGGGGGGGGGGGGGGGGGGTAAAATTGTGAGAGACTTACGACACTAGAAGTATTATCTGTCTTCTTTATATCAGCGTTTGTGTCTTTCATTGAAGCATCTTTCTTTAACGAGGTCGTCTCTTGTTCTTGAAGAACGGGTATTTTCGACTAAAAAGAAGGAATTAATTTTTTGAGGAAAAAAAGATAACTTATTTAAAATGAAATCTTTGCATTTCGTTGCCTTCGTGTCACTTAATTGAACACAAACTACATTATTCTCAGTTCTGCAGATTTTTGTAGCTTCCATTAAAAAAAAGATAACAATGTTTTTAAAGCAAATTTTCAGATGACAACCTACCTTTAACTCATCAAGAACGGTAGCCATCACGTGTTTAAAATGTCGTGTGTCATCCTCTGTCTCCACTCCCGTGGTCAAGTCATCGAGTATATCCTAGAATAAAGTCAAGTAAATTGATTGTTGTCCGACACTGATGTACTTATTGGATACATTTATTTCGATTTAAAAGTGTTTGACATTCTATATAAGGGGTGTATTTATACAAATGAGCGCATGCTTAAAGATTTCTGGTAGAGCATTAAAACTTAAAAAATGCACATTGATGAAAACGTTCATTTTCCGTGCTTACCTCGCATATTTCTGGTTCCTCCACCATTTCGCACCACGGTCTATCAAACTTGAGAATTTCATACCTCCTTTGCCTTTCCTAAAATTAATGTAAGTATTTTTTTAAAACACATAAATTTTTTTTAAGTTCAGAATCGAAAAGTCAAAATTGCCAAATCGACATATTTCCAATCAAAATGCAATTTATAAATATACAAAGGCATGTAACATATGAATACCTGCGCTCTTGCCATTAGAGCGTCCAGTTTGTTTTTGATAGCAATCTCTCTATCCACTTTTTCAAGAAGATCGTCAAAAATGCTCTAGAATGAAGAAAATGCGACAATTAATGTTAATCAATTGATTGAATTTACAATTCTAAACTGGTACTCTGTAGAACCTATCTGCTTCACAAAAAAGCTTTGTTCTTAAACACACAGCTGTAAACATACAGTGAAAACTGTCAATTTATTTCGGACATGCAGCATCGCGTCAAACAGTTAGGTGATGGTCAAAAGACCACTCTATACTTTTCGAATATTCTGCACGATACTTGTGAAAACTTAGGACAGCTTAATATTAACTACAACCCATCAAGTGAAAATTAATAAGGTCTACTAAGTTATTCGAGCGCTTATATTTGATTTAATCTAATATAACTGACCGTTGAACTGGGCATTTGTGATCTATTTCACTCACTCGTCATTAAACGACAAAAAAGTCTCCAAGTTTGTAAACACTGTTCTTGTGTTAGAATGCATGAGACACGTGCATGTAGTATTTAATTTGAAATTACCTGACACATTTCATGGTCTTCCACCATAACATACCACGGCTTGTCGAACTTCAGTATTTGTAACTTATCCTCCATGTTTTCTAAAATAAGAAAAAAAAATAAAATCTCACATTGCAAAAAAAAATAGAGAAAAATGTTTATTTTGCAATTTCATTTCAACCGCCCTTCCACTTTTCTTAATCCTTTTAATTATTTATTGTCAAGTCAAAATTAATAAATGGAATATGCGGAACATGTCGATTTCTATCATTTGGAAGATACGAAACAGGTTCTCTACTTCATTTTACGGAATAAGGACAAATTTCTTAGAATAAAAGCTATGGAAATTCTTACCAAATGTTTGCTGCCTTTTCCTTCACTACAGTGTTCCTTGACAACTGAGAAAGTATGACATCTCACTTTTATGACGTCATCCATATTGTGACGTTTTGTGTCTCTTTGAGATCATAACGTTCCATGCCGAACCTTGAAATGACTGCAGATACCGTGCGATATGTCCTCCAATGTTTGCATGAATGATGCTACACGTATGTACACTGCAATACCGCTAACTTACCTATATCTATAGCATAATAGGAACTTGGTCCCTTTGAAACATATACTATAGCAAAATAATTTCCATATTTATAAGGCAGATCTGAACCCGCCCCCTCTCCCCTTTTCTTTGAACTTCCTTCCAGATATACCACTTATGATCCACTCCTGGCTTTGCAATGTGCCAAAGAAGCTCGCTCTACATTTTATGTATGTTCTAATCGCATTCAATATATTTATTTTATTTATTTCAACTCATTCAAAGTGTTCAACGCCTCAACCAAGCGGTTATCAAAATATCAACATATTTATTATACACCAATCCCGTCTTCTTAAACTATTTTCCTCTCTATACAACTTTGTGTCACAAACAATGTCTGCCTCCTTAAAGCCTGCTTTCGCTTTCTTGCAGCAAGAAAAAAAAGTAGGAAAAGAAAAAAAAAGGGGGGGGGGGTCGCGACTTGCGAGTTCGATCATTTTGAAAGCGATATTCGTTTTATTTCATAGTTTGCTTTTTTTTTTTTTTTTACAGCTATTATACTAGATATCGAAGGAAAATCGATGATTTTTTCATGATAAACTATTTGAAATAAAATTAAAATCAATTCCACATACATTATGAGAAATGAATACATGACAATAAAATATCAAATAATATCGGGGGAATCAAATGCCATCATTAAATGTGAAGAAAATCCAGATAAAAAAGTTTATTTTGTTTCTCTCTTCTTCATGGAGAAATTTTGACCTCTGACGAATTTGAAGTTCTTGCCGATAAAATCTATAATTCCTAGGTACATGGACCAATCACAATCAAACTTTTCAGAAAGTTTCCTTAGCATTTTGACTACAATATCCTGAAAATTCGTCTTGATCCGAGATGCGGTTTGTCATGTACAAAAATATTCTACGTACGTACAGCGTTAGGAGAAAAGGGTAATATTGATATTCTGAGAATTATTCGATTAATTCATTGACTGGTGTATGGAAAATGACAAAATAAAATTAAATATCAAAATAATGACAATATATTGGTCTTTGTATACGTCAACAAAAACTAAATATGTAGGACTGACATTATTTATGTTGAGACCCAGTTACTGTACAACTTTTGCGATAACTATCAAAGTCGGTGTTCCACCGTGTTACCTACGAATTACAAAACGCTAATGCAATTCTACAAATCTTCGATTGTCTTAAATATTTCACTCTATATTATTATTTAAATCAGTTTTTAGGTGCATTTTAGAGTGTCCAATCTTTTAACAATATTAGAAAATTGTGCACACCCACAAAAACATTCTGGTGATGACATCATTCACAGTTTATATATGTATTATTTTTGCTCGTCCTATTCACTCTGCCGGCGCTCTAAATACCAGATTTTGCAGGAAAAAAAGATTCTTCATGGATAACCGCTTATATGGCACAATATCCACTGGGAAAAGAAATTTTCAGACTGTTAAAAAAATAACACAACACTGAATACTTGGTTTGTAGGTAATGTGTATATTTAGGGACGATATCAAATGCTTAAAAAAATTACAAAACGTTCAAATTCGAAAGACAGGAACAGATATTTAACAAGTATCACAGTCTTCTCCTTGCTTCATACAACAACTGAAGAACATCTTGCGGAGCCTTTTCTTCATGTTCTGGAAAAATGTTCTACGAGTGACCTGCAAGTAAATAGGGAAAAAAAGTTAGAAAATAAAACAAAGAAATAAATAAAATCAATTAGTCAGATTAATTCGAATGTTATAGTTTAAGAAATAAAATCTCTAAATATTTGCTTTACATTATTGGCGGGGGGGGGGGGGGGGGGTAAAATTGTGAGAGACTTACGACACTAGAAGTATTATCTGTCTTCTTTATATCAGCGTTTGTGTCTTTCATTGAAGCATCTTTCTTTAACGAGGTCGTCTCTTGTTCTTGAAGAACGGGTATTTTCGACTAAAAAGAAGGAATTAATTTTTTGAGGAAAAAAAGATAACTTATTTAAAATGAAATCTTTGCATTTCGTTGCCTTCGTGTCACTTAATTGAACACAAACTACATTATTCTCAGTTCTGCAGATTTTTGTAGCTTCCATTAAAAAAAAGATAATGTTTTTAAAGCAAATTTTCAGATGACAACCTACCTTTAACTCATCAAGAACGGTAGCCATCACGTGTTTAAAATGTCGTGTGTCATCCTCTGTCTCCACTCCCGTGGTCAAGTCATCGAGTATATCCTAGAATAAAGTCAAGTAAATTGATTGTTGTCCGACACTGATGTACTTATTGGATACATTTATTTCGATTTAAAAGTGTTTGACATTCTATATAAGGGGTGTATTTATACAAATGAGCGCATGCTTAAAGATTTCTGGTAGAGCATTAAAACTTAAAAAATGCACATTGATGAAAACGTTCATTTTCCGTGCTTACCTCGCATATTTCTGGTTCCTCCACCATTTCGCACCATTTCGCACCACGGTCTATCAAACTTGAGAATTTCATACCTCCTTTGCCTTTCCTAAAATTAATGTAAGTATTTTTTTAAAACACATAAATTTTTTTTAAGTTCAGAATCGAAAAGTCAAAATTGCCAAATCGACATATTTCCAATCAAAATGCAATTTATAAATATACAAAGGCATGTAACATATGAATACCTGCGCTCTTGCCATTAGAGCGTCCAGTTTGTTTTTGATAGCAATCTCTCTATCCACTTTTTCAAGAAGATCGTCAAAAATGCTCTAGAATGAAGAAAATGCGACAATTGATGTTAATCAATTGATTGAATTTACAATTCTAAACTGGTACTCTGTAGAACCTATCTGCTTCACAAAAAAGCTTTGTTCTTAAACACACAGCTGTAAACATACAGTGAAAACTGTCAATTTATTTCGGACATGCAGCATCGCGTCAAACAGTTAGGTGATGGTCAAAAGACCACTCTATACTTTTCGAATATTCTGCACGATACTTGTGAAAACTTAGGACAGCTTAATATTAACTACAACCCATCAAGTGAAAATTAATAAGGTCTACTAAGTTATTCGAGCGCTTATATTTGATTTAATCTAATATAACTGACCGTTGAATTGGGCATTTGTGATCTATTTCACTCACTCGTCATTAAACGACAAAAAAGTCTCCAAGTTTGTAAACACTGTTCTTGTGTTAGAATGCATGAGACACGTGCATGTAGTATTTAATTTGAAATTACCTGACACATTTCATGGTCTTCCACCATAACATACCACGGCTTGTCGAACTTCAGTATTTGTAACTTATCCTCCATGTTTTCTAAAATAAGAAAAAAAAATAAAATCTCACATTGCAAAAAAAAGAAAAAAAAGTTTATTTTGCAATTTCATTTCAACCGCCCTTCCACTTTTCTTAATCCTTTTAATTATTTATTGTCAAGTCAAAATTAATAAATGGAATATGCGGAACATGTCGATTTCTATCATTTGGAAGATACGAAACAGGTTCTCTACTTCATTTTGCAGAATAAGGACAAATTTCTTAGAATAAAAGCTATGGAAATTCTTACCAAATGTTTGCTGCCTTTTCCTTCACTACAGTGTTCCTTGACAACTGAGAAAGTATGACATCTCACTTTTATGACGTCATCCATATTGTGACGTTTTGTGTCTCTTTGAGATCATAACGTTCCATGCCGAACCTTGAAATGACTGCAGATACCGTGCGATATGTCCTCCAATGTTTGCATGAATGATGCTACACGTATGTACACTGCAATACCGCTAACTTACCTATATCTATAGCATAATAGGAACTTGGTCCCTTTGAAACATATACTATAGCAAAATAATTTCCATATTTATAAGGCAGATCTGAACCCGCCCCCTCTCCCCTTTTCTTTGAACTTCCTTCCAGATATACCACTTATGATCCACTCCTGGCTTTGCAATGTGCCAAAGAAGCTCGCTCTACATTTTATGTATGTTCTAATCGCATTCAATATATTTATTTTATTTATTTCAACTCATTCAAAGTGTTCAACGCCTCAACCAAGCGGTTATCAAAATATCAACATATTTATTATACACCAATCCCGTCTTCTTAAACTATTTTCCTCTCTATACAACTTTGTGTCACAAACAATGTCTGCCTCCTTAAAGCCTGCTTTCGCTTTCTTGCAGCAAGAAAAAAAAGTAGGAAAAGAAAAAAAAAGGGGGGGGGGTCGCGACTTGCGAGTTCGATCATTTTGAAAGCGATATTCGTTTTATTTCATAGTTTGCTTTTTTTTTTTTTTTTACAGCTATTATACTAGATATCGAAGGAAAATCGATGATTTTTTCATGATAAACTATTTGAAATAAAATTAAAATCAATTCCACATACATTATGAGAAATGAATACATGACAATAAAATATCAAATAATATCGGGGGAATCAAATGCCATCATTAAATGTGAAGAAAATCCAGATAAAAAAGTTTATTTTGTTTCTCTCTTCTTCATGGAGAAATTTTGACCTCTGACGAATTTGAAGTTCTTGCCGATAAAATCTATAATTCCTAGGTACATGGACCAATCACAATCAAACTTTTCAGAAAGTTTCCTTAGCATTTTGACTACAATATCCTGAAAATTCGTCTTGATCCGAGATGCGGTTTGTCATGTACAAAAATATTCTACGTACGTACAGCGTTAGGAGAAAAGGGTAATATTGATATTCTGAGAATTATTCGATTAATTCATTGACTGGTGTATGGAAAATGACAAAATAAAATTAAATATCAAAATAATGACAATATATTGGTCTTTGTATACGTCAACAAAAACTAAATATGTAGGACTGACATTATTTATGTTGAGACCCAGTTACTGTACAACTTTTGCGATAACTATCAAAGTCGGTGTTCCACCGTGTTACCTACGAATTACAAAACGCTAATGCAATTCTACAAATCTTCGATTGTCTTAAATATTTCACTCTATATTATTATTTAAATCAGTTTTTAGGTGCATTTTAGAGTGTCCAATCTTTTAACAATATTAGAAAATTGTGCACACCCACAAAAACATTCTGGTGATGACATCATTCACAGTTTATATATGTATTATTTTTGCTCGTCCTATTCACTCTGCCGGCGCTCTAAATACCAGATTTTGCAGGAAAAAAAGATTCTTCATGGATAACCGCTTATATGGCACAATATCCACTGGGAAAAGAAATTTTCAGACTGTTAAAAAAATAACACAACACTGAATACTTGGTTTGTAGGTAATGTGTATATTTAGGGACGATATCAAATGCTTAAAAAAATTACAAAACGTTCAAATTCGAAAGACAGGAACAGATATTTAACAAGTATCACAGTCTTCTCCTTGCTTCATACAACAACTGAAGAACATCTTGCGGAGCCTTTTCTTCATGTTCTGGAAAAATGTTCTACGAGTGACCTGCAAGTAAATAGGGAAAAAAAGTTAGAAAATAAAACAAAGAAATAAATAAAATCAATTAGTCAGATTAATTCGAATGTTATAGTTTAAGAAATAAAATCTCTAAATATTTGCTTTACATTATTGGCGGGGGGGGGGGGGGGGTAAAATTGTGAGAGACTTACGACACTAGAAGTATTATCTGTCTTCTTTATATCAGCGTTTGTGTCTTTCATTGAAGCATCTTTCTTTAACGAGGTCGTCTCTTGTTCTTGAAGAACGGGTATTTTCGACTAAAAAGAAGGAATTAATTTTTTGAGGAAAAAAAGATAACTTATTTAAAATGAAATCTTTGCATTTCGTTGCCTTCGTGTCACTTAATTGAACACAAACTACATTATTCTCAGTTCTGCAGATTTTTGTAGCTTCCATTAAAAAAAAGATAATGTTTTTAAAGCAAATTTTCAGATGACAACCTACCTTTAACTCATCAAGAACGGTAGCCATCACGTGTTTAAAATGTCGTGTGTCATCCTCTGTCTCCACTCCCGTGGTCAAGTCATCGAGTATATCCTAGAATAAAGTCAAGTAAATTGATTGTTGTCCGACACTGATGTACTTATTGGATACATTTATTTCGATTTAAAAGTGTTTGACATTCTATATAAGGGGTGTATTTATACAAATGAGCGCATGCTTAAAGATTTCTGGTAGAGCATTAAAACTTAAAAAATGCACATTGATGAAAACGTTCATTTTCCGTGCTTACCTCGCATATTTCTGGTTCCTCCACCATTTCGCACCACGGTCTATCAAACTTGAGAATTTCATACCTCCTTTGCCTTTCCTAAAATTAATGTAAGTATTTTTTTTAAAACACATAAATTTTTTTTAAGTTCAGAATCGAAAAGTCAAAATTGCCAAATCGACATATTTCCAATCAAAATGCAATTTATAAATATACAAAGGCATGTAACATATGAATACCTGCGCTCTTGCCATTAGAGCGTCCAGTTTGTTTTTGATAGCAATCTCTCTATCCACTTTTTCAAGAAGATCGTCAAAAATGCTCTAGAATGAAGAAAATGCGACAATTGATGTTAATCAATTGATTGAATTTACAATTCTAAACTGGTACTCTGTAGAACCTATCTGCTTCACAAAAAAGCTTTGTTCTTAAACACACAGCTGTAAACATACAGTGAAAACTGTCAATTTATTTCGGACATGCAGCATCGCGTCAAACAGTTAGGTGATGGTCAAAAGACCACTCTATACTTTTCGAATATTCTGCACGATACTTGTGAAAACTTAGGACAGCTTAATATTAACTACAACCCATCAAGTGAAAATTAATAAGGTCTACTAAGTTATTCGAGCGCTTATATTTGATTTAATCTAATATAACTGACCGTTGAATTGGGCATTTGTGATCTATTTCACTCACTCGTCATTAAACGACAAAAAAGTCTCCAAGTTTGTAAACACTGTTCTTGTGTTAGAATGCATGAGACACGTGCATGTAGTATTTAATTTGAAATTACCTGACACATTTCATGGTCTTCCACCATAACATACCACGGCTTGTCGAACTTCAGTATTTGTAACTTATCCTCCATGTTTTCTAAAATAAGAAAAAAAAAATAAAATCTCACATTGCAAAAAAAAAAGAAAAAAAAGTTTATTTTGCAATTTCATTTCAACCGCCCTTCCACTTTTCTTAATCCTTTTAATTATTTATTGTCAAGTCAAAATTAATAAATGGAATATGCGGAACATGTCGATTTCTATCATTTGGAAGATACGAAACAGGTTCTCTACTTCATTTTGCAGAATAAGGACAAATTTCTTAGAATAAAAGCTATGGAAATTCTTACCAAATGTTTGCTGCCTTTTCCTTCACTACAGTGTTCCTTGACAACTGAGAAAGTATGACATCTCACTTTTATGACGTCATCCATATTGTGACGTTTTGTGTCTCTTTGAGATCATAACGTTCCATGCCGAACCTTGAAATGACTGCAGATACCGTGCGATATGTCCTCCAATGTTTGCATGAATGATGCTACACGTATGTACACTGCAATACCGCTAACTTACCTATATCTATAGCATAATAGGAACTTGGTCCCTTTGAAACATATACTATAGCAAAATAATTTCCATATTTATAAGGCAGATCTGAACCCGCCCCCTCTCCCCTTTTCTTTGAACTTCCTTCCAGATATACCACTTATGATCCACTCCTGGCTTTGCAATGTGCCAAAGAAGCTCGCTCTACATTTTATGTATGTTCTAATCGCATTCAATATATTTATTTTATTTATTTCAACTCATTCAAAGTGTTCAACGCCTCAACCAAGCGGTTATCAAAATATCAACATATTTATTATACACCAATCCCGTCTTCTTAAACTATTTTCCTCTCTATACAACTTTGTGTCACAAACAATGTCTGCCTCCTTAAAGCCTGCTTTCGCTTTCTTGCAGCAAGAAAAAAAAGTAGGAAAAGAAAAAAAAAAGGGGGGGGGGGGTCGCGACTTGCGAGTTCGATCATTTTGAAAGCGATATTCGTTTTATTTCATAGTTTGCTTTTTTTTTTTTTTTTTACAGCTATTATACTAGATATCGAAGGAAAATCGATGATTTTTTCATGATAAACTATTTGAAATAAAATTAAAATCAATTCCACATACATTATGAGAAATGAATACATGACAATAAAATATCAAATAATATCGGGGGAATCAAATGCCATCATTAAATGTGAAGAAAATCCAGATAAAAAAGTTTATTTTGTTTCTCTCTTCTTCATGGAGAAATTTTGACCTCTGACGAATTTGAAGTTCTTGCCGATAAAATCTATAATTCCTAGGTACATGGACCAATCACAATCAAACTTTTCAGAAAGTTTCTTTGCTTCCAGCATTTTGACTACAATATCCTGAAAATTTTTCCTATATATTTCTATGTCTTGATCCGAGATGCGGTTTGTCATGTACAAAAATATTCTATATTTCGTACCCCCGGGGGTCTTGATTTGAACAATTTAGAATCTACACTATCCCATACAGCGTTAGGAGAAAAGGGTAATATTGATATTCTGAGAATTATTCGATTAATTCATTGACTGGTGTATGGAAAATGACAAAATAAAATTAAATATCAAAATAATGACA